CGTCCGGAGGGAATTGGACGAGTGTCGGGGCATCAGGGAGGGAGGGATCGGAGAGGTAGATTATGTTGTTATGGGAGTACTCTACGGGGTCGTTTGGCGGTACTGTGGCGCTGTTTGGAGGGTGTGCTGAGGAGGGTGAGGCGGGTGTGGAGCCTTTCTCTCCGCGCTGGGAGTTGAGGACGAGCTTGAGGCGCTGGACTTTGTTTGTGGGATTTGAGGAGTGGTGCTTGGGGACGGGATCGGAGGGGCGCAGGGCTTCGGTTTCGTGGACGGTGCGCATGTGTTTTGCGAGGGCGTCGGAGCGGGTGAAGGAGCGGTCGCATTCTGGGGAGTGTTAATTGCTGTTCTCGCCAGAACTGTTGGTCAAAAGAGATTGATTACTTACCAGGCAACGTGCAATAGAATGGCTTCTCTCGTGTATGACTCCTCATATGTGCTCTCAACGCATAGCCACTAGCATGCGGGATGCCCTTCCTATTGCAATCGCTCCACTCACAGCTATACTTCTTCTGTCGCGTCCCAATGTGGTCCTCGTGTAGATGTTCGACCAGATTGTCCATGTTCTCTAGGTCTCCAGCATCGCATCCGTCCCACTTGCATATCGTAACCTGGTCATGGCCGTAGTCGTCGTCGGCCGTCATGCCAGGGTGGTGAGGTGAGGCGGGCACGCTGCCATCGGTATCTTCTGAAATCTCGCCGTAACCGTCTGCAGGCGGCAGTGAGAGCGCTGGCGGGTCCGAAGCGGCGCGCAGATGCAGGCGTGGCCGCTTGGATGGGCGACCTGAGGGCTCGTGGTCGGGCGTGTGTTCGAAGCTTAGACGGCGGCCTTTGACGTCTTCGGGGAAGTCATCAGAGGCGTAGTCCGAGAGGTCTGACGCTGGCGATTCCATTGCGGTCATGTGCAAGTAATGTGGTTGCTGGAAGGTGGACGGCGAGAGCTCAACAGGAGGGCAATGAGGACGGTGCAGGTGTCGCGCTCGAGGATCAGCGCGCACGAGCCGCCCGGAGTTTAGTGGTTGACCAGAAATTGGGTTCACCGCGCAAGACTCTCACCCTCACCTCTCTCAGACGACTCACACACATGTTCGTACGGGCATCACAATGTAGTACGAGCACGCGCCCATCTATAAATATTCACCATAGGAAACTTGTCCAAAGGGTTGTTGCAGCTTTTACAATAGAAGCCGCCATGACACTCCCGTTTTGGATTGTTCTATCGAATAGGTATGTCTAACCCTCTACTTCACCCACTCCTTGCGTGATGAATGCTTAGAGTTCTGCAATGCCAACGGTTACCTCTCGAGGAAACCGAATGCGGAGTACTCTACACTACACTTGATCTGACATCTTCTTCGAAATCTCTCCATTGCTCTACTTCAACCTCTTAGAACGCTCAGAGCTAACATAGACGCCACCTAATAGAAATACCTCCGCTCTTGCACTCGAGACAACGTCCACTCCTCATAGTTCAAGATGATGTGACATCTGTGGCGCGTACCGTCCACCCGCTGCCTCAAACTTCGACAGTATACCGTTGAGCTCGTCGAATTCAGCATCCGAGAGCTGGGCCGGCTGCGTATTCTCTTCGATGCGGGAAGCCCTGGTCGCCCCCGGGATGGGAATAATCTCAGGCATGCCAGGCTTGCCATTGTGCGCGAGGACCCAGCCCAAAGCGATCTGAGGAGCCGTCACACCCTTCTTCTTCGCAATTTCCTCGACTTGGTGGAGGAGCACGAGGTTCTGATCGAAGTTCTCCTTCGAGTAGCGCGGGAACATATGGAGGTTCGAGTCTTTGGGAATGTCTTCCCATTTCCTATACTCGCCCGTCTGCTCCATTGTCAGCAATTGTGATTGGCGAATGATGAAAGGTAGGAGCTCACCAAGAAACCTCGTCCAAGCGGCGAGTAGGCAACTATCGGAATACCCAACTCTGCGCACGCCTCCGCGATTCCATTCTCGAAGATCTGCGTCGACCAAAGCGACAGTTCGACCTCAACAGCAGAGATCTTAGCCACGGCCGCCGCCTTTCGAATCGTCTTCGCGCTGACTTCTGACAGACTGATTCCACCTAGCTTGCCTGCCTTCACATATTCATCAATGTAACTGATCGTATCCTCAATCGGTACATTTGTATCCACCCGTGCGCACTCGAACAAGTCGAGAGACTTCTTAACCGGGCTGAGATGCTTCAAACACTCATCGATACTGCGCTGGATGTTCTCCTTGCTGCCGTCAGGCCGCAGCTCGCCGGGCGCGCAACCGCCTTTGATCGAGAGCAGAACCTTGTCTGCATCTTCGGGATACTTGGTGAAGTACTCGTTGAGCAGGTGCAGAGAGTTGCGCTCGGCTGTGCCGTAGATTTCGCCGCCGTTCCAAAATACTGCACCGTTAGAGAGGGCAGACCGCATTGCTTCGAAGGCGCCTTCTTGGTTGATGGGATTGCGTCGCCACGTGAGGCCTGTGGATTGATGGGATGGTTAGAGTTGAAGTAAAAGGATGCTGTGTGACATACCCATGAGGCCATAGCCTACGGGACCGACTTCTTTGCCTACGAGCTTGACCATTGTGACTGTTGAGTTGAGCTGTGTTGTTGATTTGCGTTCAACTTGGCTGATTGAAAATGCAGGTGGGGTCTCGTAGCTTCATGTAACTTTTTCTTGCAAATGGAATCGGTAATTGCAATTGCTTTGAAACCTCAATGCACTTCCCTTGAAGACAGCTTTATACTCCTTTCTCTTTCGCCCATGTCATGTCTCTCGGTCCCGAACGCAAGGCTCCCAATCCGACAAGGACAAATTCGAAGCCATGGCGTCAGTATCCCGCCTCACAGCTCGAGCCCCACCATGCACGCAACCAAGCACTCACGCACTTTACCAACCCCAAACTTAAGTCCGAACATGAAACGACCCAATAAGATAGTCTCAGAGCCTGGCCAACAACCATCCGAGCGTGCCACGAGGACTTTCAAGCTATCCCCGTGCTGTGGAGATTAGGCGGACTTAAAGCTTAGCCGTCTAGTTCTTCGACAGTTTGCCCGTTTTGGGGTTGTCTGGCTTGGCTCTGGGTGAGAACGACTGGATTCTTCCTTGCACGGGGCCCGGATATCTTTTTGGGTTTCTCGTCCGGGCGAGGGCTTATATGTGTGAGGGAGCCGGAGTTGAACGTTTTGCGGACAGCTTCATGTGCGCAGAGTTCGACGGAGACGATAAGATTTAGGCTCCGCAAACAAGGATTATGGATTTTGCACGGCAATCGGGCTAATTGACTGTTCCAAAAGAAGAAAGTTTATGTGGTCTATCGCTGTGCACTATACAGCTCCAACACTTGCTCCGAGGCCAGCACGACTTTCGATGCTGGGTCCTTCCACCATACCGATGTAGGAGATGGCCGGAAACCCCGTTGTCAACGACCTTTCTTACATCTCTTTTTTCGGAGTCGTCCCTTCAAGATCCCTCAGCACTGCCCGTACAGGCCATACGAAACCTTCCTCGATACGATCCGTCGTCCCCTCCTCTGTCGTAACGAGGTACTCACCTAGCGCCATGCCAATATACGCTCCAATACCAGTGAAGATGTGCCACCAGCCGTGAAGTTCGAAGATGAAGCCCCAAGGTAGACCTATGGAGCGCTTGAATCGCGTTACATAGGAACAGAGATGGTAGTCGATACTCCACAGAAAGTACCCGAAAGCGCCGCAATCTAGGACACCGTGAGCCGATGAGGATGCTAAAAGGAGCGTAACACTGGCTTACAGGTACCGAGGCTCGCCAGCTTGCGCAGTCGCTTCTTTGCTTCAGGGCTCTTGATGCGTTCACGGATGAGTTGCCGGACTTTTCGTCCAGCGAGGAACACCATGACTGCGAAGGCGATCTCGTGCATGATGATTTCGTCAGCCCAGCAGTGGTAGATCGAAACTGCAATATTGCCTCCGAGGATGTAAATAGTGGTGCGTATGCGCTCGTCCTGTGGCTTGTTGAAAGTGAGGATTTGTTGCAGTAGAGAGCCTGCTGCTAGGAGCATAGAGAGATCGTCGCCTATAGTGGTCAGCCTTGCAGGTCAAGTACTTACATGCACAGTTTGAGGGAGGATTATGTCGACTGGAAGTGTCATGAAAATAGAAGTCAACGGAAAGCTTACCCATCTGACTATGATACTTCAGCGTAGAGTGATACCATCCAGACAGCAATCCGACCCCAATCAGGCCCCAGTAGGGGAATGCCAACGTAGAAAACAATCCGCCATCTTTGCGCGGCTGGACTCTTCGCAGGCCATGAGCACCGTAGATGACTGTCAGAACAGTCAATCTAAAGTCAATGCCGGTGAGCAGTATGAGGTACTAACATACCATACGTGATATTAGTCAAAGTATTGATGAACTCGCCAATGTACGGTGTAATTATGAAGTCCTGCATGCAGTATAAACATACTGATATGAACGACTCAGCCAAATGTCATACCTCTTCGCAAAAGCTGCAGCCTCGTCAACACGCTTTCCATATCAGCAGCCGCCAAGATCCGGGACTCACTTATGGTTCGATGTTGTCGGGCCATAGACCCCGGAACCAGGGCTTTCACCGTACGGCCAACTGAATGCCCCCATCTTCATACAAGGCGCAGAAAACGAAGCGAAAATAGGAACCTTGAATGTGGTGTTTAGGAATCGGTGTGGTTGACGAAGGACGTGTGAAGTAGCGGCAGAGGCATCGAGCTTTGGCCAATGGCATCCGGCACTAGGCCCATGTGGGAAAGTTGGGACGTGAACGAGAAGAATCCCACTACTCGGTCTCCAAAATATAGTCTTTGTATATCATGTTCTCTGCGAGAGATCTCGTTTTTGCCCCCTTCTGCCAAAAAAGATGGTCTAGATCTCATTCGTGAGATACCCATAACTCTGAGTCACTTTCTCATTTCGCTAACTAACAAACGGCTCCACCGCTCAGCCTCAAGACTCATCACACAAAATTCTAAGCTAAGACAAAAAGAATAATCAATGACCGTAGGGCCTTGGCCAGGGATCGAACCTGGGATCACCTGCATTTAAGACAACCGCCCTAAGCAGGTATCCTACCACTAGACCACCAAGGCTTTCTGATTTGATTGGTAAAATTTCTGATATACAATGTATATATAGTACGTCAGAATTAGTTACGGAAGACAGTAAAACCAGAATTGTCTGTTGCAGAGTGATCAGTGCACAAAGGAAGAGGCTGAGGCGGCATGACAGCAAACGGACCTCGCAAACAGATACGGTGGGGAAGTTTTGAAACAATACAAGATTGGTTGAATTAAAGCAACATACTATGCATACTTGTGCACAGATTGTCCGGGAGTTATCACAGGTATTTCACTGGAGACAAGCTAATCGACGGGTTTGTTTCATAGAAGGTAGGGGAGCAAGATGATAGGTGATTTTAAGTATTGTATATTTTAAGATGACATCTAACAGTTATCGATCGAGATACTTCGCAAGAGCGCGACTGATGAACAGGCTCACTTGCACATCTGAGTTACTGTTACCACAAAGCAGTGGAGCATTCCTACTAGCAGCTGCCGACCACACAATCAACGAGGGAAGGCCCAATCCGGTATTGCTGAGGTATATCCGCGCCATCGCTCAGCACGTTTCTTGCACTGATAGACATAAGTTGGCAAATCTGTCGCACGAGGACGCCTGTTCTTATCGTACTCAATGCATTGTCCAACCAAGCCTTGCAGATCATCTGAATAATGGCTTGGTATCGGACGTCCTTCAGCTATGCAATGCTCATCCGGACCCCCCGTCAAACGTGCTACGCATGACATCGTCTTTCCCAGAGAGTAGATGTCAGCCGTGGTACTATACGAAGGCGTCTCGGGCGCAGTAAACTTAGGTTGGCATCGAGACACGTGACGACTGATCTCCCTCCGCTCTTTGGCATGGTTCTTTTTGAGAGAACAACCAAAATCCCCAAGCACCAGTGTCGGATACCCAGATCGTGAAGATACATCTTTCCATGTAATCAAGCAATTATCCGGTTTGATGTCCCTATGCAGTATGGGTACCCAATCTCGCCGTGGAAGAGTTTGTTTTCCTTCTCGAGCATCTTCAGTAGCATCGCATCCGGTTTGCAGGTAGCATATAGCAAGACTAAGCTGAAAGAAGATCGACCAAATGAAACCCTCGGACATGCTCCTACCGTGTTGCTTGAAGTTCTTGATGCAGGCGAACAAGGAGCCGAGCTCGCAGAACTGCATATAGATAGAACCATACCCTGGTGAGAGATCGTTCAGCTCCGAGCCAATAAGACCGACGATATTTCGGTGCTTACAAGAATCTAATGCCTTCACCTCTCGCCAGCCGTGGAAATCCTGCACATCCTTTGTCTTGATTCGCTTCTCAATATAGAACGCCCTCGGATTGTTCTTGTCATGAACAAGATATACTCCTTCGTTGAAGTTTCCTCGATCAGAGCCAGTCAGTGCCTTGACTGTCACGAATCGTCGCCGAACTTGGCTCGATGATGATGAGAAACTCCGGTGGGCGCCCTGCTGCGATGGGCGCATACCTATGGCATGTGTAGCTGCTATATGCCCAAGTGGGGCTGCACGTGGTTGCAGCAATGCAGGTTGACTTACTGCCAAAGTAGGATGAGGACCAGCCTGTCTAAATGAATTCGCGTAAGACGGGCTGGAAAAGCTACGCGGGAGAGACCCACGAGGGGGCTGTCGAGGCTCCGAGAAGCTCACTCGAGGTGGCTCGCGCGTAGAGGGTCGGACCCAGGAGTAACGACGCCGTCCGGGCGATGAATAATCCCCGAGTACTTCGCGATGTACTTCTCGCCGGATCTGACGACCGGGATCCCAGAAATCAAAAGCTCCAGGCATTTTGGGTGGTAGCAGTACAAGTGGTAGTGGTAAGACAGGTGGTGGTAGTCGTTATTTGTGGGCGCTGGTACTTTGGATTCTAGAGTATTAGCCTGGAAGGGTTTTATAGTCGGACTATGATCATACTGGACATTGTGCATTCACTCTTCAGCCTCTTGTATCGCAATATAACCCTTACAATGCACAACGCTGTATCAGTATCTCCCAGAGTCGTCGTCCGTCAACATTGTCATCCATCTCTGTTGCTAGATAGCCTAGACTGTTTTCTGGGATGGTAGCAGAAGGAGATACCGCTGGCCCAGGGGATATACAACCGCAGTTCTAGTGAGTATGCGGTCAAGGTAGCTTACGATTAAGATGTCACCCTTTGATATCGAAAAGTGAGCATTGTTCTCCGAGTCTTACTCATTAGACAGGGCCGGCGAGATCCAATAGCTATATAACAGCTTTGACTGGGCGTACGCACTCGAGCCTAGACGAAGTGAAGGTACTGCCAGAATGCAGAAGGATGCCGACAGTTACTGGGCCAGCTACTGTTCGAGGGTTCTCCATATACGAGGAACGTATGTAATCGTGAGTATATAAAGGATAAGGATCCAGATCCGAATCCGAGTTGGATGTATCGGAGACAATTAGTTCAAGAGGTTGCTTCCGACCAACTTATTACTTCTAAAAAACAGATCTGATGGTGACCGGGGTTGGCATTGCCTCCAGTTATCAGGTACAGTGGGCAGTAGGGGTTGATGAGCGTACTGCAGACGCTACCTCCATAGTCTCTCCCCTGGGAAGTGGCACACATTGCGCATTTCAAAGCGCTCGTAAAGCGATCGAAACCTCCTTGAAAACGACATGATAGACAAACGTTCCAACATGCTAGAGGACCTTCGGTTTGACTAAAGCCGCAAAGTGAGGTTCGTTGCTTGCAACAAGTTTCTTTGGGTCGCTGAATGATGAGTGATTGGCAGGACCGAAAAATGGAGCGTATCAGCGTTACAAAGGGGCGAATAAAATCGCATCTTACCAGTAGAGAGAACTTCGAAGTATGAGGATCCCCATGTCTTTCGTAATTGTGTCGATACATCTCCTTTTTCGTCGGCTGGGCCCCTGAAGTTGAAAGACAACTTCCTAAGCTAGGCGTGTAGCTTGTCATATGAATCTCTTGTTCATGTAGGACACAGATTGATAGGGGAAGAGTTTCCTCTTCGCAGACGCTTGTCACATGCCAATCGATCACCAGCATCTTGGGCATTGGAAGAAAGATGCACGGATTGATGCTGTATTCGTATTGAGACCTCAACGTACTCCTCTGGTGGTAAATCACGCTCGACGCTTCGGGAGTTGGATGAGGTCGTCGGCATTCGAGGTGGTTGGGGAGGTCGCGGCCCGTGCCCCGCGTGAAGCGCCTCATTTCTCCCCGATGTTCCTCCACTTCGGCTCTTCTCATTGCGGATAAATAATCGAGTATGGAAATGATGGCACACGCCTCCGCTTTCCGATGTAACATTTCCAATGGGAATTGGCGCGACAAGAAGCCAATACTCTTGTTGTCAACGCGGCGTTGAAACAAAGCCACGCCACTATTGAGGGGAGGGGAGTGGATGTGTTCGATTTCCTGGCCCTCCTTCGATCCTTCCACCAATCGAGATCTCGCCATGCGTCGTCCCCGTTGGGAGATCAGTGAAACATGAGCGGCATGGAAGAAGCGCTTAAACCATGGCTAGAATAGCTGGTGCTCAGAGATGCACCTTGGCCAGAGATTGGACCAGGTGCAAGTTAGCGCACCCTGGAGCTGTCAATATTGGGGCAACGTCTCTAGTGGGGAGTGGTATGGGCAAAATCTCCAGGCTGTTTACAAATGATACTCTGAAAACCTTCCCGCGACGGATCACTGGATTTTTCTTCTGTGTCATCCTGGAGGAGCCTCTCAATAACAACCATGGGTATTCTCGGGCTTCCGTCTATGCCAAAGATCTACAATGTCTACTTCCTAGCAATGGTCGCCACAGTAGGCGGTATACTTTTTGGATTCGATATTTCATCGATGAGCGCCATCGTTGGCACACCTCAATATCTGTAAGATAGACTATTGGTCCTTGTCCGATAAGTGCCAGCTAACCAACCTCACAGAAACTATTTCGACAACCCTTCTGGTGTGGCCTAGGGTGCCATTGGATCTGCCTTAGCTGCTGGTTCTGTTGTTGGCGCCGTTATAGCTGGTCCTGTCTCTGATAAGCTCGGCCGTCGACTCGCTTTGCAATTTGCTTGCCTCTGGTGGCTCGTCGGGACAGCTGTACAGGTTGCGTGCAATGGACGAGGTATGCTCATTGCTGGACGCGTCTTGAACGGTGTAACTGTAGGTATCACTTCGTCACAAGTCCTGGTCTACCTTGCGGAAATCGCCAAGCACAGCCAGCGTGGCGCTATCACCATAATACAGCAATTGGCCATCGAATGGGGTATTCTCATCGTGTAAGTGCTGATATAACCTCCTATCGGCCGATCTAACAAACGACAGGTACTTCATTAGTTACGGCTGCTCTTTCATTAAGGGCGAGACTGCCTCCTTTCGAACGGCATGGGGCATCCAGTTTGTGCCTTGCGTATTTTTGATGCTCGGACTTCCCTTCCTTCCAGAATCGCACCGATGGCTTGCCAAGGTCGACCGTGCTGAGGAAGCTATCCACGTACTCGCCAACATCCAGCTGGCGGCAACCTCGAAGATCCCTATGTCATCGCCGAGTACGAGGAGATCGTTACCGTCCTCGCTGCAGAATGACAAGCCGCAGCTGGTTGGCGTAGATTAATTTTGAATGGGATGTGGCGAAGAACAATGGCAGGCTTCACTGTCCAAGCCTGGCAACAACTCTCCGGGTAATATATCCCCTATCAAGCGAAGCATCTTCTTTGCCGGGTGTTACCCTTTCATATGAACTTATGCTAACTGTATCACGGAATATAGGGCCAATGCCATGACATATTATGTAGTATATATCTTTGTCATGGCTGATTTGAAGGGGAATATCAATTTGATCTCTTCATGAGTTCAGTACGCATTGTTCATCATATTTTCGACCGTCATGTTCTTTTTGGTAGACAAAATTGGTCGCAGAACTTTGCTAGTTTGGGGTGCCATTGCAATGGGTTTCTGTCATTTCGTTGTGAGTGGGACCCTAGGTGCTCATTATACCTATATACCTGGTGGTGTTGGTGGTAACGCCAAT